CCCCACACTCCTGTGTTGCAATGTTTGTGGTGCGGGCTGTACTGGAGTGCCAGGTGCTTGGGATTGTGCTTGCTGTGCTCGTGCGATGTCGTTTTGCAGGGACTTGCGTTCTGCCGTCAGCGCCGCGATTTCTTCAGAGCTTTCGCAAAGTTGCTGCAGCAGTTCGTTCAGACGCTCATGCGTGAGGGTGGTGACGTCGATGTGCTCGGCCATTGTGAAGGGCGTCGACTCAGCTTAGTCTAGGCGCAATCGTGACTGCACGCGTTTACGAGAGAACGCAAGGACAGCGGCTCCTAGGGGCTAAGGTGCGTGAGTCCCTTCGAGTGAAAATTTGAAAGTTGATTTCCTGGCGTGCGGAGATGCGCGGTCCGAAAAGAAAGAGGCTCTGAATACCAAGTGCTGCGGGTGCAAAGAATCGAGGTAGCGAGGATTGCACTAAGTGTCAAACGAGTACAAAATGTGAGCGAAGGCATGAGCGAACATTTATACGCGAAACATGCAAACAGTAACGCGGTGCGTGCGAGCTAGCTAGTGCTACACTGGCAGCGAGCATCTGGCTAGTCCCGAAGCGTAGGCCGATACGGCTGGGCCAACAGTGCGAGGTTTGGTGAAAGAGTGCGCGCGAAGTCGGCGAAGCCCTGTTAGCAGTAACGAGCGAACAACGGCTGCTGTTGTACGAGATGTTGCAGGACGCAGCAAGGAATGTCGAGAAAAATCCTTACAATAAGGAATTATGTAAGAATAGAAATGGGTTGCGTGTTACGGCAGATTGGGTCGAATTGGCATCAGGTGATTTCATTGACTGACCAACACAGGTCAGTGGTGACTGGGAGAGATTTGCTCCAAACTCTTGTTTGGGGATTCGTTGTTGCAAACGTGGCCACCATTTGCTCGAGTGGTTCTCAAATTCAGTGATAATTGCTCGAGTGGCCTCGCCTGTGGATTCTCATAGTCTTTTTTTTAGAATGAACATTACCCTTCAGGGGTATCTATCCTTGAAACTTCTGTATTGGTTATTGCGTGATCTTTTATATCCGAAATTTATGTTCGTCACCCTATATGACCGCGCCTGATTGGACGCTCATATAATCGACCAATCCTGCGCGGCCATTAATGGTGGCGCGCATCATATTTTTATGCCCGATCATATATTTCCGCAGTTATAAACTGCAATGCCCTTAATGACCGCGCATGATTGGCCAATTATATGCGCGGTGCCATTTTTTGAATTGCGCGTCCAATCAAGGGCTGTCATATAGGGTCACGAACATAGATTTTGGATACTGAAGATCGCGCAGTAACCAGTACAGAAGTTTCGGGGATAGAAACCCGAGTAGGGTAATGTGACGGGTTAAAAAAAGCCAGTGGGAATCCCCTGGCAAGCAGGCCTGTCGATTGACGGGCATATGCCCTTAATGCCCTGAAATTCCGGGCTACTTTCGCTCCAGCTCGACTGCATAAAGTGTTAGGGTCGCCCTGCACCCGTGCCACTAAGTGCTTCGTTCGACCCTTCCCCGGATGCGTTAAGTGCTCCAAACAGGCCTTCCCCACCCACGAAGTTCTGATTTCTGGTTCTAGGGAGCCCCCCCCCCCCAAGAAATTCTGCCTGTGTCCCCACTCCACCCCCCTCCCCTTTCTCCTTGGTTGCACGAGAGCGCGCCAAGGGGATTTTTTCCCTTAGCGTTTTCTAGCCAATCCCGTGTTTGTGATCTCTCTTAGTCAGCTTTGGAGCAGCCGAACTTTCCCTTAGCTAAGAGAGTGTAGGTGCAAGCCCGGATATCAAGTTACCACTTTGGCCTGCGCCCGTGACCGTTAAGGGCGCCAAAACACTCAGCTACGGCCAATACAGGGTCAGATAGGGAGGAGCTGGGGGCTCCAAGTATGGGCCCCAGGAACATCGACAGGCCTGCTGGCAAGGCCACTCGAGCAATTATCACTGAATTTGAGAACCACGCGAGCAAATGGTGGCCACGTGGGCGCCGCTGAATCTCCAAACAAGGGTTTGGAGCAATTCTCTCGGTGACTGGTCTCACACAACTCACGAAGAACCTCGCGGAGAAAAGACGAGGCTGGCCATGAGAGATCACTGTTATCGCTGCAACCTCTGTCGCGAACCTCAGCGTCGAGCCATGACGTGGGCTCGACGACAGGTGGCGAGCAAGCGAAGAGCAGAAATGTTTTTCGTCACGCCATGACCGTCTTGTTGATGGCGAAAAAAATCACCGTCTGGAATGGCCCACTCGCACGGTCCTCTGGTGTATTCGAAGCGCGCCATCAAGCACCCGTATCGTGCATCGCGTCGGCGCTTTCTAACTTCATCCTGTCCGTCCATGTCGGACTTCCACTCGATCTGAACCGTGAAGTCTCTATATCTGGCCCACCATTCTTTCTCTTCCTATTCCCGCTGCCACCAGCGGCATCATTTCACCCCTCTAGAACCAAGGCCAGCAGTGAGGTAGAAACCACGAATGACGGAAAAGGACGGACCTGCAAGTTTACTATTCCTTCTGCCATAACCGTCTCTCGAAAGCTGTCAATTTGCCACGAATTGGGCTTCTTGTTTCCTGCAAACGCGTCTTGGTCATTACGCTAGCTCCACATAGCCTTCTTGCGGTCCGATTCCGACGGGCTATCATGTGCGCAGATCCTTCGATTAGTGTTTCCTCCAGCAGGCAATCGCGAGAAGCGCGGCTGCGGCATAATCTCAGCAACCAAGTCGAGAGGTCGCTGTCAAACCAGCAAGAACGATCCCAGTGTATAGATTTGTATATCGACGTTAGTACGCGACGCAGCACTCTAGACATTGTTTATTTCTAGGTTCAGTGACAAAGACTATCCCAGATCGAACGCGACGCGGCACTCCAGACTGGCGCGGCGATGGCGGGTGGCGGCGGCTGCGGCGGCGGCGGCGGCGGCGGCGGGAACGTCTATGGCCATGACAGCCATGATAACGACGACGACGAGGCGCAGTTTGACCCGCTGCTGCAGCTCATTCAGACGTCGCGCATGTGGACCAAAGAGGTGCGCCTGGGCCGCGATGCCGCGGACACGTCATCCGCCTGTCGCTGCGCTCCTACTCCTCCGCCTCCCCATATTCTTACTCCTAGTAGCCAGGAGCCTTAGTAACTATACTGCCGTAGCGGGGTAATGCCGGCTCGATGCGGCAACGAAGTAGCGCATGCGTTTCTGAGAGTTCACAATACAGCCATTTGTCGCACCGCGCCGTCACAAGCCCCGACGATTTTTTTTTTTAATCACGCCGCGACAACGCACTATCTTGTCGCTTCCGTGGCTCCGCTTCGACGCAATAGTCCGTCGCATAGTCAAAGGCGCGCTGCGCGTCATTCCCGCCGCCAACCTTTCCCCGCGCCTCCGCTTCCTCCGCGGATCACCTCCTCGTCGAGGAGGCAGATTCTATCTCCCCAGCACCCCTAGATCGGCGATTATTCACTGCGGAAGACTATCCACAATGGTTCTACGCGGCGCGTAGGGGTTAGAATCGAACGGTGGGTAGTGCCTGTCTGAATCCGACGGATAGAACGCCGTCACTAACTCGGCCGCACTTGCTCCCGCGCTTCCGCAGCGCGCGGATGTGAATCTCGTCTGTCCCCGCCTGCGCGCCCGCCGCCTGTACTCCCCTTAGGACTCCCGCGCTTCCGCCCGCCCGCGCGTGCGGCTGCGAACCTCCGTTGGGCGGGCTGTTGCGCCGTGCACTGCGCTGATAGGCTTTTGCGACAACGCAACGCCGCAACAACGAGCCTTCCGCGGACCTTCCCCTCCCCCTTCCGCCGCCTTACCCCAGATCGTTCCGCCGTCCATCGTTTCCGCGGAAGACGATTTTGCATCAAGTGGTGTCGAGTTTTGAGGCGCCTCAAAACTGGACGATTTTGCATCATGTCATGTCATGTCATGTCGTGTCGTGTCGTGTCGTGTCGTGTCGATCCACAACAGGAGAACGATTGCCGCAAGCTAGGAGGCGCCGCGAGATTCAATCATGAAGGCTGCCGTCAGCAGCAATAGTCGGCTTGCGCGTTGCGCAGAAGCGCGGCGTGACGAAAGGCAGGAGACGACGAAACGCATTAGATCTACCCCGCGCATAACGCCTCCCCCACCATTCTCCCACTCTCTTTCTCCCCTCTTCCATCCCTCCCCCGTCTCCTCTCCCCTAGGAGGACGCGGTGCTGCTGCGCCATGCGCTGCGCGCGAGCACGAAGCAGTGGAGCGCGCTGGAGAAGAGCGGGCGGGATGCTCTGCCC